AATAAAAGGTAAACATTCTAAGATGTGCTAACCCCCCCCCATTAGCTGTTAGCTTATTTGTTACAGCATTTCTGCTATTTTGCTCTTAAACTATAAGCAAATGAGCTTATTTACAAAACAGAAACAGACTCACAGACATAGAAAACAAGCTAATGGCTATGGGGCGGGGGGAAGAGGGTGAGAAGGGATAAATTGGGAGTTCGAGATTTGCAGATACGGACTTCTATATACAAAATAGATAAATAACAAGTTTCTACTGTACAGGACAAGGAACTATATTCAATACCTTGTAGTCACCTATAATGAAAAAGAATATGGAAAGGAATGTATGCGTGTCCATGTAGGACTGAAGCATTGTGCTGTACACCAGAAACTGAGACAACGTTGTAAACTGACTAGACTTCAATAAAAAAATTTTAATGCATAATAAGCGGCCTCCAAGGTAAAGAAATTAAAAAAAACACTACACTATAAGCACCACGTAACTAGGGGCCATCCCTGTGGCATGGACGTAGTACAGTGTCCACATGTCTGTGCAGGAACTCTTTGGATATTTCATGGTTTGTTCCTTATTTTTTTTTCCACAAGGCGTATGACTTTCCATCATAGACTGTCTTTTTTTTTTTAAGAAAATCAAATTTGAGAATCCAGGTGGTCTATCTGGGATAAAATCATGATGCTCTTAGCACACTCTCCACATGCCTTCTGGTTTTCATGAGCAAAGACAAAATTCGAACTCAGTTAAACAAGGTAAATCCTTAAGTCTTGGACTTTGAGGTAAGAGGATGCCGGAGATATGCCGACCCTGGTTAAGGCCTATAAAAGACGCAGAAACCGAAGCCTGCAGAAGAGCAGCTTGCTCAGATGCACACAACACAGCTGGCCAACCAGCTGGAAGGGCTATCGTCTGGCCGTTGAGAGGCAGTGGCCTCTAGCGGGGATGAGCACGGGCTGTGGAGTCAGACAGATGAAGTTCAAGGCCAGGCCCTGCCCGTTACTTACTGGGTGCCCCGGGACAGGCGAATGAGCCTCCCTCTGCCTCCACTAGCTCACCTGTGAAATGGGACAAGAGGTAGCCCTTGGACCACTGGGCCACCCTGAGGACCAAATGGTTGGATACCAAGAAGAGAACAGAGGGCAGTGCCTCCCCACCATAGTAATACACCTCGGGGTCAACCTCTGTATGACTGGCGTTTTACTCCACTTTTCGTCAGCAGCATCACCACCAGTGTGAAGGCTCTGAGAACTTTGGTGAGTAGGTCGGGAAGGGAGTCGATCCGAGATAGGACAGCACTCCGCAGCCAGTGGGGTACAGCAGCACACACCATGCAGTCTTGGAGGGGGGACATCTGATGCGAAGATGACAGGGCTTAGATGTCAGCCTCCTGCTGAGCTGTGTTGCAAACCTGGTCTAACTACACCAGCACCAGCTGCCCCCACTCGCCATCTTCCCCCACATCTCCCGACACCCCCAGTGTGTCTCCATTTATGTCACTTGCACTGCTCTGATCACACACTTCTCTCTGGTCCTCAAGCACAAAGCATGTCTAGGTGTCCCTTTCATGTAAATGACATGGTCCATTCTAACGTGCAGGCTCTTGTTCCCCACCAGTATGCTGAGTGCCTGAATCCAAACCTCCGGGAAGAAGGTCCAGAGAGCTGCCCTCGGATGCTTCTGATGCACGCAGAAGTACCAGAAGTCCTTGAGATTTATCTGGGCACTCTTCTTATTCCTCCTACTTGACTATAAATTGCTTTTCCTATGACATCTACTTTGATTTCTTTCTCTGCAATTCTGTGTACACAGCAGATTTTCAATGACAATTAAATAAATGTTTGCTAACAAGCCAAAGCCACTGAGGATCGCGCTGTCCTAGGCAGGGGGAGACGGGCCAAGATAAGCCACCATCTCCGCTGCAAAATCAGACACAGCATCTGATACTCCGAGCAGCTCCAACAAGCATCCTAATGGTATGCAGTGGATTGTACAGTTAAATAACTCCACTCCAGGGAAAACAAAAGTGGCAGCAGTAGAGGGGGACACACAAAGAGCCAGCTGCCCACAACATGAATAGCCTGACAGGGCCATCCCACCAGGACCCACGGAGAATACAGATCAGAGGCAAACGGGAAATCTGAGAGGCGCCAGGGCCGCGACCTCGCTAACCATAATCCGTTTTCAACTCCCCTCTCCTTCGCTCCCTCCTGCCTCTCTCCCTCCCCAAACCCAACGTCAGACAAGCCCAACTTGAGAGCTGTCAGGCGAAGAAAAGACCCAGCACCGTGGGGAGACGCAGGGTCCCAATGCCAGCTCTGCAGCTGCCCCCCCCCCAACCTCCATTGTGCTCATTATTCCGGGCAGGGCCTGAGCCCAGCCCGGGAGCGGGTTCCTTCTGCAGCTGGCATTTTGTGAGCTAAGTTACTCGCAAGAATCAGAGAGGAAACAGTGCACTTTGTTCCCCGGGATGATCTGAAAAAAGAAAAAAGAATTGGGGGAGGTCTGAAGATTTTAAGCAGAGATTTCAAGGCTTCAAAATCTGACTTTGTTTTCTTGTTTTCGAACCAAAGAATAGGATTCTGAACACAAATGTGACATTGTCTGTGTGAATTAAAGAGTGTAGCTCCAGTCCTTTTGCAGTTAAAATGTAAATGTGTGCAGTGTGTGAGGGTACACAGGTTGAAGAATGGGACATTAGAGGCTTTCTTCCCTGAATCAGAATCATAAAGCTGGTTAAGTACTTCAATAGGTGTCGGCCCAGATTCTGATTCCAGCTTTACGATTATCTTCGCCTGGAATCCCCAATCCAAGATTTCTTGGGATGGAGAAATTCATCAATGTTTCATAGTCCGGTGGAATGTGTTCTTCACGTTGAATGCGGAAGGTCTTCCCTGTATCCACCTGCAACCACCACTGATTTCCCTTTGTCTAACCAGCCCCACAGACCGATGCCAGGGCAGCCCTTACTCTCTTAGCATGATCTTCTGAATTCCTTCTATTTTTTTCAACATCCTTTTAGAAGTAAAATAAATGAACATGACCTAAAGCAGTGCTCAGAAGAAAATTACTCTGTGAATCTTGAACCCTATACTCCTTGTCAGAAGTACCATGGCTTTTATTCTCCTAGCAAGTATTTCTCCTTCAGTATCTCTCTCCCTTCCTCCCTTTCTCTCCCTCTCTCTTTCTCTCTATAACACAGAGACACACACACACACACACACCACTCTTTCATATCTGGATTGCATCTCTAGGTCTTTTAATTCTGAAACTGCATTTCCCCCTCCATGTAAACATGTTCTGTAGACTTTATACTAAACTTCTTACCCTTGATCCTACTAACTTCATCTCGCTTTCGAGGGACCGTTTTTCCCAACAGGAACAGAATTCAAAATGACTTCAGGAAACCTCTAAAGGAAGTATAACCCAATTTGCTCTCTCAGCACTTTCAAATTTAATGACTATTTTCACAGTCCCTTTATCTCATCCGTTCACCCAAAGCACTGCACACGACGGGAGCCGCAGAAGTTCGGGTCCACTGGCTCTCGCCGGGGCGCCGTCACCGGCAACGGCTTTTTGGAAGCCGGAAGTTCACCTCAGCAGGATTAGTTTCGAATCGCTTTTGCAAACAGTCATAGAACTTGCTTGTCTAAATCCCTCTGACACTTCCCCACAGCAAGGAGAACAAAATCTAAACTCCCCGCCGTGACCTCAAGGCTCCTTAGACCTGGGCCTCCTCCGACTCCACTACGAACCCCAACTTTCTCCCCCTTCCCGGTTTCCCCAGCCCATCGTTTTCTGGTCTGAAATGCACACGTCCACTGCCGCCCCGGGGAATCAGCACTCCTGCTCTTCCTGCCTGGCACATTCTTCCACAAGGGCTCCACAAACTGGCTTTCTCACCAGCCAGTGCTTGCTTCTCGGTTTTTTTTTTCCTCCCTCCTCCTCCAACTAGCAGTTAAACCCCACAAAGATGCTGGGGTGGGGGTGGGGGGCGCCCCGCTCACACTGCCCCCAGTGCCGGCCGGACAGGGAGCACCCCGCGAGCACTTGTGGGATGAATGGACGTGTGTGAGCTTCTGTGCACCCTACCGCCGTTCAAGATTGCTGCAGGCGCCAATCTGACCACAGCTATGCAAGAACTAGGAGAGGGGACTGAATACTCTGGCCATTAAGATCAATGGATCTTTCCTTTGCTTCCCTACCCCGGAAAGCAATAAGGAAAGGAGTGTATCTACAAAGTTATAAAAGAAATCCACAGGCAAACCTGCATTTCCCTGCCCCTTATTTCATTTGCAGGACTTCAAACTAATTTCTGATGATGAAATATGTGTTAAGACATATTTTCTTTGTTACCTCGAAACCAATGATGGTAGTCATCAACACATGTTAAAGAAAACAAAAAGGGGAGGGGGCATATCATGTGAGAAAGAACCCAAAGCTTACCAAAATCATGCTCTGAATTTCCAGTTTTCTTTCCATGTCAGCATCACCGTTCACATAAATGAAAAACGTTTGTTAAATGGATTCTGAGGCATGGATATTAGCGTAAGCGTTGAGAGTGTAAGCCAAACAAAAATGTAAAATTACCCTCAAAGGACTCTGAGAGTACAACTGTGGAGCAACTTGTTGTTTTTTTTTTTTATTCTTCAATATCCATTTTATTCAGATTGCAAATACAGAGGGAGGAATTCTCATCAAGGACAGAAATCTTCCAGTCAAGCCCAAAGTTCCACAGGGCTCCAGAAAAATATGGCAAGATTACTATTTGATTCACGCAGACTAAAACTTAGGGCTTTCATATGTACCCCAAAATGATGAAGAGAGCTGTATCACTAAGAAAAATAAAGCAGGGTATAGTTTCATATTCCCATCACTCAATGAGCTTATTCTGACAGTCATTTAGTATTCTCATTCTTCGGAAAAGTTACCACTTTGAAAAGTGCCTTAAGGCTACACATCCTTTCCCACCAAGAGCGCCCCCTGCTGGCCACGCGCCTCCTACCTTGCAGCCACTGTGGGTCCTGGTCTTCATCAGGGGCGTGGTGGTGCACAGCTCGATGGCCTCAGGCTCATGGAAGATGACAGCTGGGAGAGGTTCCTTTTTCAGTGTTAGGACATTCAACTTAGACTTCAGCATGGTCTGAAAGTGCTGAAAGACAGGAAAAAAATAAGCCAGAGTTAAATCATTTGGAATTGTCCAGGATGCAACTGTACTGCAAACCCAGGAGCAAAATCTTTGTTTCCTTCATTCTCTTTTACTAGGGCAGGTGGAAAGGTGCTCAGGAAAATGCAACAAGAAAAAAAAAAGAAAGAAATTGGCAGGACACCTCCAAAATGAAACTGTGGCAGACAGCCAACACCTAAGCAAGACACCGAGACAACATGAGGCGGTGGCAGAGTCTCCAGGACCTTGTTTGTTCTGAGAGGCACATCCAAGGTGACGTGTAGATGAGATTCTAGACATGCAATCCATGCTGAACTCAGCAAAGTCCGTGACCGTGTTGGGAAGAGGGTGTGATAGGAGATATGTGGGGGAAAGTCGAGAGATAATGAAAAGGGAGAATCGATGAAAAACAAAACAAAACACAAGTCTCCCGTTCTCTGCCTTCCCCAGTCCTGCCCTGCTTTGGCCGTAGAGCTTTAGAAAACTCACTACTTCCCAATGGACCGTTTTATCTACTGTCCAGGCCAGGATTCTAAGTAAATGTCCATTCTATATGCAACTCCTGGTGGCACTAGTTTTGAAATATGCCCGGAATCCAAAAATATTTAATTGCCACTATCTATCCATACACCCAGTCAAGGCCCCTCCTCTGTTGGCCTATGACAGAGTCTTAGTCCAAACAACTGGTCCTACTACTCCCTGCCTCACCACAGAGCAGCCAAAGGGAATCCTTCTAAAATCTAACCATGGCTGGCACCCTTCTTCCAGAACTTTCCCGAGTCTTCCCCTCTTCTCATAAGTCCTTACTTTGGCCTCAAAGCCCACACATGATTCAGGGACACAAAGTCTCTCATCTCCCACCCATCATTCTCTTCTTTGCTTGGGTCCAGCCTCAACGGCTGCCTAACCTCCGAGAATAAGTCAAAGACATTGTGCCCTGGAGCCTCTGAACACTCTGCTCTTGCCCCAGGTATCTGAAGCTTTGCTTCCTCACCTTTTTGAAGACTCTGAGTAAATGTCACCTTATGAGACAGTCTTTATTAACACTATCGAAAACAGTGCTTGTGCGCACATACACACACACATACACAGAGCTGGTTTCATAGGCATGCATCCTGTACAGTCACTCAGGACCCCGTGCTCAGGAGGGCTCCATGCCTGGTTTAATTCTCTTGGTTTAATGTCATTGAAATTCTTAATAACTTTATTTGTGTAAGTTTTTTGTTAAGTCTGATGAGACAGTAGAGCACACGTCTGAGCAGAGGAAACAAGTGCAACATGTGTCCCCCTCTCCCCGCCCTCAACACGTAGGAATTCTGCAAGATGCAAAATCAGTCCAGGAATGCCTTGTTTTATTGCTCTTTACTTTACTGCAGTCTATAGATACTGCGTTTTTGTTTCGTTTTATTTTGCAGAGACCCTGCATCAAGCAAGTCCATCAGCACCATTTTTCCAACAGCATTTTCTCACTTTGTGCCTCTGCATCAAATTTCAGAAATTCTTGCAGTATTTCGAACTTTTTCATTATTATTATGTGTTGTGGTCACCTGTGTTCAGTGATCTTTGATGTGGCTATTGCAAAAAGAGTATGACACACTGAAGGTTCAGATCGACTGTTAGCGTTCTTTAGCGATAAAGTAGTTTTTTTAAGTTAAGGTATGCACATTGTTTCTTTAGACATAATGCTCTTGCACACTTAATAGATAAGAGGAGAGTATAAACACAACTTTCATATGCACCAGGAAACAAGAAATTCATATGCACTGACTGTGCTATGACAGTCACTTTATTGCAGAGGTCTAGAGCTGAACTCAGAGTGTATCTGAGGTCTGCCTGGACACGGGAAGCACGTTAAGGCTATGAGTCAGGAAGCCAGGAGGCCACACTTCAGAATGAGAATTTGCTTCCAATAGAGGAATGAAGTCAGCTATATTTTAAGAAATAAATGATCAAGGAACCCTAGCCTATGCTTTTTGTTTGCGTGACTTCCTGGCATGAGACAACCACCTGCACTGAAAACGATGACATAGAGGGAAAGGGAGAGGCAGGGCCACCACAGCGCCTCCTGCTTGCAGCCCCTCCTTACTCAGCCGTAAACCAAAGGTCAAGTGTCGCTGGAATGTGCAGGTTTTAGAAGTGAAATAAATACACGTGAGTTCACATTCAGGTTCACCCATGAAGCAGGAAATGCAAATTG